CAAGGTCGTCGGACACGAGACGGATGCAGCGAACCCGCGTTGTTGTGTGGACTATTTTTATAGGTCTTCTTTAACTCGTAGGTAAATACAACATCGTGTCGGATCGGAGAGGAGCTCGTTTTCTTTGCCTTACCTCAGTATATTAATTTATACTCCCGTACACCTACATACGCGAGCTCTCGTAATTCGTCATTTTGACGTACACGTGATTCCTCGCGTCCTTGTCTACAGAGGATTCCGACTTTGAAGTTTCCGCGCTGAAAAGGATGCAGGAGGACGTTTTCGTCAACTCCGACGCTGATGCGTAGGCTTGTTCGTATGTATGTAATTTTATTTATTACTCGCTGATTCACTTGACGTGCCTGTGTTATTATTTTCAGCTATTTAGCGTGAGATAGGTTTAGTTTCAAATGTCACTTTGAGGTCACTGCGTTTGGTCTTTGGGAATGATATATTTTTTTATTTTTAAATTAATTACATGACTAATGTACGCAGTCTTAATTTTTTTGATTAATTTTATTTTCAAGTACTTCCGTACTGTATTTTGCTAACTTTAACTACATTGAAGATGTACGAGTATATATTTAAATTACTCCCGTTTCAGAACACCCATAGGTTCTTACATCAGCGCTTGCGGTGCGTTGAGCGGTCACATGTGCATTGACATCACGGGCGTGCGCGTGTGTTTTCCCCCGATGGACACGGTTTTCTAATAAAACTCCGATCCGTTACACCGCTCGGGATGAAAATTACCACCGGACAACACGTGGGGAAATTTTATTCAAATCGCTCGACAATCGATTCTTTTTTCATGATATTATGCAACACCGCGTGCATCGACTCGGTAAATAATATATACATTCGAACGAAATCAATTGTGAAACAATCACAAATCCGTGATATACGTTTGCTGTGTGTTGAGCGCATGTCTGTTGACTAGATATTAATTGAATCAAACAAAAAAAACAATCCTATAAGTCTTACTGCGTTTTTTCGTCTCGAGACAAAGTGACGATTTATGATTTAACAATGAGCATTGCGAAAAAAAACCCCTCTATATTATTTGTCCACAGGATGTGGTGTAAAAATATAGACTTGTAATTGTCTCGCGTGAATTTTTTTTTTTTTTTTTTTAATGTGTATGTACAGGTATATACAGTGCCAGCTGTGGGTAGCAGACAAGTTGTCTGAGCGGTGAAATTTCGTGAGTGTGTCGATTTCTTTTTACGCCGTGGCCCCAAAAGACTTTACGTCCTCGTGTACAAGTGCAAGTGTTTTTTTTTTTTTTTTTTTTTTTTTTTTTTTTTTTTTTTTTTTTTTTAATACTTGTAGGCACGGCACGTGGCATGTGTGACATTGTGCACACTCGACAGGGCTATACTAATTTTAGGCTATCAATCAAAGTTGTACGTCTTTTTCTTTTCTTCAATTCGTAATTATCACGTTGTGTACATATAGGTACAAGGTGATGATGATTTTACACCATGACTCAGTCATGTTTTCACTCTAGTGTAACATCGACAAATGAGTATGAACAAAATATTCCGAATAGTAAGTATCTTTAAATTCGTTTTTTTTTTGTCCAGCTTCCCATCGAGTCGTGCGATAAAAATCAAAATTTGTCGTATATTGCGA